TTGTATTACACCTTAGTTACTGGACTGCTCTTATCTCAACCCGTGGGAGTTACATTCCTCCAATTCTCCTCCCGGGGGGAGTAAGCGAGAGGCTGCATGGTTCCAAGTTACCAGCTGGGCTTAAACCACGACACCAATTCAGTATCTGACAACATACAGGCTTTTGCAATAGCGAGTAAGGTTGAACAGATCTACAACAAACCTACCTCTGGAAGGCATTATACAACCAATGATTCCTTTTATAAGGTTTTCACGCAGAGCTCAGCTAGATACTAGCTTCTACTTCACACAATATTGTTTTAAGAGGCTAATAAAAAAAGATTCCTTCAAATAACAGCAATAACTAGGTATCATCATTTCAGAAAGCCATCTGCAATTATAGCTTACCTCAGAATTCTGTACAGGTTCTTTCACTCTGGGAGACTGAAAAACAGAGAAAAAGCTGTCATTTTTTCCTATATGAAAGCAAAACTTATTGATTAGAAGGACTTGTCAGAACCATACTGAACATATGAAATATACACAATTGCTTTCAACTTACATGCGTGTATTAAGATGAATAATAAAAGGGACACCACAATTTGTTGGCAACCTAATCATATCACACCACCCAGAAACAGCCACGTTTCAAAAGCTGTAGTTGATATTTACACAGTGGCATACAATATCCAAAGTTGCTATCGCTGTTAACTGTAGCAAAATCCAGTACTTCTGAAGATCACTTAGATTGGATAAAATTACTTGTGCACCAAGATGGCAAAATCCATTTTAAGCTACCCAAGTCTTTCAGAAAAAGATAAGCCACACAAATCTGCCTTGCAGAACTCTGCTGGCAAACAAATCCCTTTCATATACTGAGGCAGCTAGTTTGCAAATCAACTCACTTTAACGATACAAAGTCTGAGGAGGGGGAAATCAACCTTACTTGTGCTGCTTTATAGAAAGAACACTCTCATCTGCCCTTCTTGCCCTTGGACTCTGCATTATGCCGTGTACTCCGTGAGAGAAAGCAGTGAAACAAAGAGATCAGTGGATTGGAGGGCAAAGAGCAGTCAAAGCAATGTGAACAACCTTTGCGTATCAGTAAAACAAAGATAACATGCAATAGCTGTTCCACATGAGCAGGAAGGAATTGCCAAGTACTCCTGCAATTAAGAGAGCCTGCAGCTTTGACTTCTAACTGGTCCAACTACCATGTGAAGATAGGTGGGATGACCTGGTCCATGCCCGGATTAATAAAACAGATGTTCCTCCTCCACATAATGGTCTAAAAGACAGGTTGAGATTAGGACACTAGAAGTTTGACAGAAGACTCACGCCACTCTCCTGAGCCAGTTTATGCAGTAACCAATGCCATTACTGTAACAAATGCAGATCTGAGCAACTTGTAACATGTCACAGAATAGCAGGTTGAAAGGGACCTCAAGTTTCATCTGGCCCAACCAATCATATGACCCAGAGGCTTCTTATGAGAGAAAAAGTGTCTTATTCTCAGAAGAGAAAGTTACAAAAAGCCCTCTGGACATGTGAAGGAACAGTTCCTTCATGATGAAATGTGCAGCCAGTGTTAGGAAAAAAGTCAGGCAGCTGGAAAGATAAAGCCTGAAATCCATCTCAATATGCTGAGCCTTCACTTGACAGTTACCAGGCAAGGTGAAAAACATGGCATTGCTCCCAGAGATAAACAGCCGTAATCCACATCTGCAGTGCTGTTCTTTCAGGCACAAAGCTCATATCCAAGAGTATCCTTTTAGTAATACCCTCAAGGAATAACTCAAAAGGAGCTTCTCTGAAAGATCACAGTGTGCTAGACACTGTACAGACAAGTATGGAAACACTGGCCCTGCCCCACAGCTAACAACGAACCCAGATAAATGGACAGAAATGAAACAGGATAAACATTAGAAGATGTTTACCTAATTAAGGCACAAATAGGATGACTTTGGGGGTGTGCCAAAAAAACATTAATTCTAACTTATTTCTGCTTGGGCAAACAGAGATGATGTGAGTAATCAGTGAAATGTGACCACACAGCATCCACTGCACAGATTTATTGAGTAATGGAAGGTGAATGATTTAGGAGACCACATAGCACAGTTGCTTTAATTTGAATTCAAGGTTTTCAATGCCAAAAGGAAAGAAGTTCACCAAGTCTTTATGTCCAGAAGGTAATGGTGAGCCAGCAAGTCACCATATGGAAGGAGTTGAGTAGACATTTCTGGCTCTGTTTATAATAAATACTTCTCAGCTTTCAGCTGCATCCCAGTAAGACTTGTACAATGCACTTTTGTAAATATTATAGAATAAAAAAAAGGGTGAATTTAAAAGCAAAGACAAGCAAAAAATACAAACCGTTTTCATTTATGTACATGCTTTTATGCAGGTTAATTATTAAATATTTTAGCAAATTAAGTCAATCTGCAAAGCATACCTTTACTTCAAGGCTGACAGCAATAAAACACAGGTATAGATAGAACCACAGAACGATTTGGGTTGGAGAGGACCTTTAAAGATCACCTACTCCACCCCACTGCAATGGGCAGAAATAGAAGGCGATACCTAGTTAATGTAAGTTATTCTATCCTACAACCAAAGGATTATGGACAGGTGGAAATTACACCTTCTGTTTGAAATATAGCCAAAAAACACAGGATAAACACCTCAATACACCACCATATTTGTGGCAAATGCTGGCAGTTTAGATACAAGTCTTAAGATAACTCTTGAAGTGGGATAGAATGCAGGAGGTGTACAGGCATTCCT